AGGGGCCGGGAGGTGCTGGTCGAGGCACGAAGTTTCAGCTGTCAGACACGTACACTCCGGGGCCTGGGGTGCAGCCCGGTGAGCGCGGCTAACGATAGGGTGCTGCGCACCTGCACTCTGCCGAGACATTCTCACCACGGAGACAAAGGTCGCATGGGAGGCGACGGGGGTGTCAGTCCGCTTGAGCATGGCGGTCATTGCACTATGTGCACTTAGCTCAAACCATCGCTTCGCCCACCGTAAATACCTATAATTTTTACTTGTCAATTATGCCTCAATAAAGCTGGAGACTTACATAAAATAAAATAAAATAGTTTTTAAAAGGACAAACCTCCTGTGCAGGAAGAGGTTACTGAAGCCACAGGCGAGCCGGGCCGTGCCCCGAGGACACACGACCTCGGCCGCTGCGCCTCGCTTTCTGATGGTGTCTTTACAAGGCCTAGCTTTCCTGATACAAGCTTAGTGATTTCAGAATAACCGGCTTCGATGACAGACTTAAGGTACGCCTCCTTCATCACCATCGTGAAGTGACCCTCACCCACGAGCACGACCTCTCAGTCTGACCCGCCGCTGAGCTGGGTCAGCGCGGGAGTCACGACGCCAAGGTCGGTGTCCGAGGTCGGATGAGATCCAGTGCAGCTGCCGGGTGACAGGCAACCCCACCGAGTGGCCCTCCCTGTCACTTCCTAACCTGCTAGCCCGAGGACACACCCGCCGGCCACCTTCCTGACGCCGTCACTTGATTTCAGCTGCACTCCACTGAAAAGGGGACACCAAGAAAAGCAGGGTAGAGAGTAGATGTAAAGTCAGGGGCCATCTCCAGGCAGAAAACAAATGAGAGTTAAAGAATGCGTGTCTTATCTCATGTTAGTTTTAAGTTCAAAAAAGTCCAAGTTTCTATGTTAAAGCAATAATCGGGAATATTAGAAATTACTGCTTGTTAGTTTATGGCACAGAGTTTACAATCGACCTCAGAATGACCTGTCTCAGGTAAGAAGAGGTGGTGAGTGGCAGCTGGCAGGAGAGACAGCTTGCCTGGGGACCCCGGCTGCCACCAGGAGGAGGCCGAGTCACGCTCAGGTCCTCGGGCCCAGAGCAGAAGCGGCACCAGAGGCCGGCCCAGCCCCCACAACTGGACCAGACAGTTCTGCTTCCGTATTTTATTGAATGAGATTCTACTAAGCTGTTTGTTTTTTGAGAGGGTTTCACCGAAAAGGGGAAAGCCAGCAAGCCACCGTCCCAGCCCAGGGCCTCCCGCTGGGCTCCGGCTGACGCCTGCGCACGTGGCAGTTGCCTCAGTGCCATCATTCGGTCAGCAGAACTTCCTGTGCCGTCCACTGTGCAGGGCGCTGAGCGCAGCCCTGAAGCTGCCCCACGGAGGTCACTTCCTAGTGGGTGGGGAGAAGCATACAAAACCAGTGACACAGACAAACACCTAAAATGATGGGCCGCTTCAGTCATGTCAGGAGGAAATGGGGCCTGGGCTGACCCTGGGAATGAGGGCGGGTGGTCAGCCCAGGCTTCTCTGACAGGCCGTCTCAGGCCGGGGAGAGCATGCTGCCGGGGGACAGCGCTGAGTGAGGCCACCAAGGGCCCCATGTGCCTGAGGGGCCATGGGAGGCCAGCGGGTGGAGAGAGGCTCCCGGCCAGGTGTTCGCTGGGCAGCAAACGGCTCAGGGGCAGGCGCTCAGGCGAAGGGAGTGGGGGCCAGGTTGCCGAAGGCAGAGACTGCGCAAGGTCGGGGACAAAGTCAGGGTCACAGGGACTGGGAGACCGTGGGGCCAGCGTGCTTGGAGGGCAAGGCCGAGAGTCAGCGTGTCTGTGAAGCCGCCACGGTGGAGGTGTCGTGTGGATGTGTCACAGACCCGAAAGCCAGAGCCACATTCCTCCGCCGACTCTCCCACGGTCACGGCCCGACATGTGCCTGCGGATGTGGGCGTCTGTGCAGACGCTCTCCGACACCCCGAGTTCTTCCCAAGTTGTACCCAGTCGTGGCAGAAAACACTTAACCTTTGAGGACGTGTGAGTTGGTGGGAGGAGAGGCTGGCAACACGCTTGGCTCAGAGAGAGAAAGAAAGGAGCGGGAGCCCCGACCAGAGGACGAGGCGCCCCGGCCCGGCGGGCCCGGCCCCCCCGCCGCCGCAGCCCCTCGCACTTCCGTTTGGATGCTGGGGCGTCCGTGCGGATACGTGTCTGAGTGACTCCCACAGGCAGATCGTTACATTTTGAAGCCTCTCTACAGGGCTGGAACGTTCTTCCTTTTCTTGAGGCAGAACCTGCCTCCCTGGACCTCAGCCCAGGGCCCGGCTGGGCCTCCGCGGAGACCCGCAGCGACCCCTCCCTTCACGGGGGGTCTCTGCCTACGTGGAGCAGTCGTGAAGAGACCCTCTCCCTCCGAGAAAGTGAAAAACACACCGAGACGACAAAGCCTGCAGGAACAGCGCTGTGCGACTTCCTCGAGCGAGACCACGACGCTGGTGCGCGCCGAACAGCAGTGCGGCGCGTGGAGCGTGGGGCGGGC